CGATTAATCGATTAATCGTGGCAGCCCCATTTGAGTAAAACTAAAGGAATCCTGCTGTTTTTGTTAGTCTAGTTGAATCAAATCCAAATGTAACACTTTGCCAAAAAGATACCGTTTGAATGTTAGGTAGTTGTTTTAATGTCAGAATTCAAATTCGTATTTCTCTTTTTGGATCAGTCATTTCTGTGGCGTCTACATTTGCACAATGTGACTCCCAGAAGGATTCACAAACAAGACTAAACAGAAAACTAAATTAATTTCTAAGATAAMGTTCTTGGTTGAAAAGGAGGCAGTTCAGTTGTAGCTACAGGTGAGTTGTTGCTTTTATTTTTACTTATTCAGTTTTAAATTCTGGTTGCTCATAAATGTTCTAGTTTTGTGCAGAATATTAACAGTTCTTTTTAGTTTTTTAGTTCTTGATTGCAGAGTGTGTGTGTGTGTGTGTGTGTATTTCCCTACTCTTTGTTTCACTCTTGACCTTTCCAGAACAGTAGTTGGAACCGGTTGAGTTTGGACTAACATGGCCTCATTGAGGTTGATTCTGAATTAAAAATAATAAATAAAAAAAACTCAGTTTCTGATCATTGAAAGCTCTGTTCACATGATTTCCTATTAAATCTAAAATGATAAATAACACTAGGTAACACTATGTTGTAATGCTGTTTTGAGTGTTCATGTAAAGACCTATTTATCATAAATTACTCAACTGTTATTCATTGTTATAGAGGGAATTTTTTTTCTCCATGTTGTTTTTTTAAACATTAAAATGTGAGTCCCCTTAATATGTGAAAAGCTTTCTTAAGACAACAAAATGTCTGAACTGAGACATGATAGATTATGGAGGATAAATCCTTTTAAACAACTTGACGAGCCAGACCGATCAGATCTCACAACCCTGATAACCCAAGTGTAATTCAACCCACAGTCTCTGCATTTTTTTTCTTTCAGAGCCACTGACATTTCCACTTGTAAAGTATAGTCACGGTGAAAAGAAAATCCACCCTCTTTCCATTTTTAAGGTGTGATGTGTTTTCCATCAGGTTCCAAAGTTAGTTTACATCTTACCTCAGATGTAAAAAGAGATAACACTCAGATGTTAAAACAGATAACAGATTCCACCATGTCGTTTAAAAAACTAGATTAAAGCACATGGAAAATCTGTTTATTTCACAGCTATTCAGTCACATGTCTGAAAGATGCTTTATAATTAGGCCTACACTCCGTCTACCATCAACTGTTCTGAATAACTCATCAGTGTGAGAGTCTCTATCTGGAGTTTGGGCAGTTTGTAGTCTTGATGACACAGGAGTGTGATAACACATTGTCAAGGTGGAAAGACATCAGCAATGTCTTTACCTGGGTTAAAGTAACTTTCCAAATAATTAGTCATCATGACACAGTGAGATGCACCCACAGACGGGTGTCTCAGCTGCACCACAGACAGATGTCTCAGCTGCACCACAGACAGATGTCTCAGCTGTACCACAGACAGATGTCTCAGCTGCACCACAGACAGATGTCTCAGCTGCACCACAGACAGATGTCTCAGCTGCACCACAGACAGATGTCTCAGCTGCACCACAGGTGTCTCAGCTGCACCACAGGTGTCTCAGCTGCAGACAGATGTCTCAGCTGCAGACAGGTGTCTCAGCTGCAGACAGGTGTCTCAGCTGCAGACAGGTGTCTCAGCTGCAGACAGGTGTCTCAACCAAACCAAACCAATCCAAAAGTGAAAGTCATAACTGAAGTGACACATTTAACAAGTTTTCTCAAATGCAGCTACAGCTGTGCCATACATTAACAACAGCATCAATATGGACATAAAAAACTGACAACTAAATAAAACATTTAAATAAAATATATTTTACTCACCCAAACCTTTTGTCTGTTTACAAACTCCATCCTCCTCTTTTTCCTCAAAGAGTTCAATACCTMTGTCCCACARGTCCTCATGGCATTTCCGTTTCAACAATAAGTCCTTTTCTATCACCACCGTGATGCTAACACTGCAAGTCCAGTCTGTTCTGTCATTTTTTTTTGTCATAAGTTTTAATTTTCTAAATAATGCTGAGAATGTCCACTCGGCATTTAGCTTGTAAGACCGTGCAGGGTTTCCCCCAGAAAACCGTCTAAGCCCGGTGGTAGGGTGGGCCGCTTTGGTAGCCCACCAACGGCCCACATTGTTTTTGTTAAATGTTAAAGTTGACAAGAAATTTGAATATATGATATAATGTAATTGTGTTATTGTAAGGCATTGCTGAAAATACTTTAAGTTAACATCAACTATAGCGAGGGTCACCAACTTTTCTGAGTGTGAGAGCTACTTCAGGGGTACAGACAGTATTAATAATAAATGTTTGTATGTGGATATATGACTGGCCTTTTACATATTAATGTTACAAAGTCCTCACTAAAATTACCAGTAATAATTGATTATGGCCAATATGATAAATCATTATTAACTAGAAGCACTCGGAGAGTGCAAACCTCCACCAAGACCAATTTCCCCCATCCTGTAATGGAGTTAATGCACAAAAGCAGAGATGGAAACATAGGCTACGTTCACACTGCAGGTCTTAATGCTCAGTTCCGATTTTTTGAAAAAATCCGATCTTTTTGTGTGAACGTTCACATTACATTTTAAATGTGACCTGCATCAGACTCCTGTGTGAACGCTCCACAGCACTGATGTGACACGCATGCGCAGTAAAAGAGTCTCATCAGGCGGCTTGTTTGTTTACAGAGCTAGCATGGATGCTACATTTTGCGCATCGAATTGGAAGTTGTTGTTTAATC